AACCAGTATTTTTACCTTATAAGGCTTATACATAATTTGTTTGTAAACGGGTCACAAACACAAGTGCCCCACAGTTTATAATAAAAGTTTTAGCCACGTATTTTTTTCGGCTAATATATAACAATGAAAGATAAGAGTAACGTATTAACAAATAAAAAAAATCGAAATTACATCGAAAAGTGGCACATCCCCTATCCACTCGCATATATGCTCGTAATATAGTGATCTATTTTTACTTTACCCATCTTCTTGTGACTTCATCACTCAAAGCCAGAAAAAGACAGATAACACATATTAGTATGTATTTATCTTTTTTCGAACTTGTGAGAAAAAAGGGGTTTGTGACGAATGCAATCACCATTCACACCTATATTGCAAAACGTGCAAAAAAGTAGCGGATGGAATATATAAGCGATGTGAATGTGAAAATTTTCTAGGAGAATTGATTATGCCCTCGGATAATTAAATAATATATCTACACTGCTACTAAATTTTTTTAAAATTTGATATGTTGAATAAATTCATGACCCTGGGCCTAGGATCCGCGTACTCCCTCCCTCTTTGATAGCGATCATTCCCGACAAGAACAAATAAAAGATGATGACGTGTTTATCCATAAATGATCGATTAATATCATGTGACGTGTGGTCGTCGATAAATAGAATAATAGAGATTGTGCAACAATCGATTTTCTAACTGCTAACCTTTTTTGTCGTAAAATTTTCGTACCGTAAATGACCAAATCTCTTACACCTGAGATCGAAAAACAACTTAGTTACCCAAGTAAGTTCGTAATATCCTTTCGTATCACACTAGCAAACGTTAATGTGTATTTTCTCCCATCAGAGTACTGGGAAAGGGATTCCACATTATGGGGAAGCGTAGCGGATTGGGATCTCTATTTTATCAATGAAATGCCCGGTTCGACATGCGATGTAGCACATAAAACGCTAGCGAGTGAACTCGAAACACTTCTTAATCACTTTTCTGAAAATAGTCGTGAATGGTGCAAGGCAAAAGCGATCAGGAAACAACTGAAGGTTTGTTTTATACTCTGCTGTTAAGATTGCATAAGCCGTACCCTGCGGTTTCTATCGATTGACGGGCATTCTTCTGCTTGCCTGAAGTGGGTAGCATGTTATGGTCTGGACTTAAAATCCCATTATGGCATGTGTGGTTACGCTATCAATTTCTTCGCAAAGTCGTACCCTGCGGTTTCTATCGATTGACAGGCATTCTTCTGCTTGCCTGAAGTGGGTAGCATGTTATGGTCTGGACCTAAATCCCACTATAGCGTGTGTGACTGCACAATCAATTTTGATATTTATCATCTACTATATTTAGCATTTACTTTCAGTCTTCTTTTCTGAACTGTTGTAGCAAAAAATTCCCAGTAATACTATTACCTCGGCGATTTGGAAGGAGCATCAAGAAGCAATATTACGGGCTACAGTTGAAAATAAGATTAATGAAAGTATTAATAAGGTATTCTGCCCTACTTGGTTCTGAATTAATTTACTGTCTATCTTTCCTCTTATACATTGTAATTATTAGCGTAAAATCGAAGATGTAGCGAGGAATGCTACAAGTGCAACAGCAAAAGCTTGTTACGCACCGAGTGGTTACAAGATCCCCAAACGTCCCCGAATAGATTACAAAAACTTAGATCATAATGTCGATGATGATAACGATGAGGAGAATATAGACCTTCTGGAGCAATCGACCAGCGAAACATCACCTATGCAATCGACCAGCGAAACATCATCTATGCAATCGACCAGCGAAACATCACCTATGCAATCGACCAACGAAACATCACCTATGCAATCGACTAGCGAAACATCACCTATGCAATCGACTAGCGAAACATCACCTATGCAATCAACTAATGAAACATCACCTATCGAGAATTACCTGAAAAAATTCGAAGAAGCGTACTTGGAATTAGATCTCAATCATATGTGGTTGCTGAAAAGTGGTCGTAAAGTGGAAGAAGTTATTTATCAATTCGCCAGAAATCTTCCTGAAGAGTCATATTTACACTCATTCATAGTCAATGACATCGATGTGGCCACCAAATCACTATTTTCGGATGAGGAGTGGAAGGAAATCACCACCTCAGTGGTTAAGGATAAACCAAAACTTGAGAATTCTCTTGTAAACCTATTGAAAAAATACACAGTTGATGATGTTGAGAGACTACGTGATGTTCTTTTCGAACCATTTATGCCAGATGGATGCAAATATGATCGAAAACATCATTTTGATCTTGATTTTATTAATGGTTCTTATCGAGGAATTTTACGTTTGTGGGAAATGGAAGAAAACCCTATTAATGACTCTTTATTAGAAGGCTGGTATGAAATGAATATGTGGAGTCGAGTAATTGACCCAGCTTTTGACAATCTCAATATTGATTTAGTACGTGGTGAGGGTATGAGTCACGCATCAAGTGATAGAAAAAATCTTACCAGAGCAACAAATGATCGAAAGAAGCTCGGTCGAAAAGGCGATGGAGTATTCAGATTACGCAAGGATCGTTTAGAATTTGGTGCTATAGAAGCGGGTCGAAAATGGGAAGGGAAGAGTGGAACTAAATATATGACAGATTCGCTAAAAATATGTAAAATGTTAAAAGATATGCTAAACCAACTTGCCATTGAGTGTGGTATGAAAGAAGATCTCGTGAGGAAATTACAAGTAGTCGGAATACTTAATGGAGCAAACAGAATTCAGGTCATGACAGTTGACCTTCCTAAGGGATATATTACTCGTATTCAACGCAGAAAGGTCTATGAAATTGCTGGTCGTCTATCAAAATCTAAACCGCTTGCTTTTGCTCTAAAAGAGGTACTATGTGCGAAATCTATCATCATGCAGACATTCGATATAATAAACAAGAAAGATGATGTTGATCCCGAAATTTTTCTTGATGATTCTGATGATCAAAATGGATACTACACACCTCCTAGGACCGTTATCTCAAAGACATTTGTGACTCCAAAGAAAGAGGGTATTAAAGATGTAATTAATGAAAAAGAAAAGAAGTAAAGTGTTAGATATAAACTTTATGTCTGGGGGAACTTGCTCACGTGGTATGTTCTTTTTGATCGTAAGCCATATTGTTAGCATTCGTATATGCATGTAATTTTTTTTGTCTGAAAAATTAGCATATCATTAACACACCCACATAATTTCATACTTGGCGAAGATAAAACCCATATAAACTTTGTACTTTTAAATATCAATAAAGATGGCCCTGGTAGCCGATTTGCATACATAATTATGTTTCTTTTGCGTGTATATTTCGTGAATTTATTTATTGTATTGATATCGATGTACATTACTCGCATATAATCGAGAGCGAATTTTTCTCTCCAAATTAGAACGCACATGTGATTTTTTTACTTGCCATTTTTTTCGTATAATTAATTTGAATATATCCGTATTTTATATAAAAAA